AAAAAAAAACCCTTCGCAACATGTTGCATCGTAATAGTTGTGAAGGATTTCGCGTCCTTTAGCTGTTTTTTTTTTTTTTTTAACTTTTTGGGTGTTGTTTGTACAAATATTGTTACGGCAGTCTATCCAGGATGCACTATCACATGTCCAAAAGTTTCGCTGACGTTTGAGTTCCTTTCAAAATCTCAAATTTATAGTTTTTGCGAAACTGTTGACTTGAAATTTTATTTTATTTCAGGAATCTTTTTAAGCAACATGTCAGAAGTCGCATATTTTATTCAGAGAGCTCGAAGCCAGTCGTGAACTTTTTTACAATGCTTAGAAACTTCAGTCTGCTAAATTCAGCCGCCCTTAATGCTCGTTTTGAATTCAGGGATTTCTGACTGAAGTTAGCTTGACGAGTATTAAGAAGCATCTCTCAGAAGTCTTTGAGGCTTGTCGAACTCCATTTCCGATGAGCTTTTTATTTACTAATAATTTAGCTCTACGCGGTTTTGCTGAACCCCTAAATGAGGGATCTTTGCTTCCACAATAGTTTTGATATGGATCGATTGATTGAAATCGATGTAAAATAAATTATGCCATGTTTTCTTCTGTCGTTTGAAACAAAGCAGTGCGTATTTCCAGGCGACAAGTCGATGGATTGTTTTTTGCAGATTACTCAGTTGTTTAAGTGATCAATAATCAGAGGTTGCGGGAAAATTTTTTTCTTTTACACGGCAGTCTGTTTAATCAGCTATGCCACGAATGATTTCGGATAATGTGTCTCGGCAAATGAGCAGATTATAAAACATGGCTAGGCAGATATAACTCGTTCAAATTTGGCCAGATCTGTAGTTATTTAATTTGATTAAACGAACCACATAATTAACCAAGTTTTTTAGCTACATTTGATTAGACGGATAAATATTTGTATGAGATTCGGTCCCTGAGTCCAGAAAAAAGCCGAAAAAATCAACAAATCTAGTAAAGTTGCATTTCAGTAATCGGTTTTTGCATAGTTCAAAAAAGGCATTATGAAGAGATTAAGTGTTTGTATGTTTTCTTAGAAAAGCCAGTTCGTGGGAGGTCAGTTCTTGATCATTTGCAAGGTTATGAACTTGGCATCAACATTCAGGCCTTTCTGTGTCCCGACAGGTAATTTAATTCCGGGTCCACTTTATAATTCGAGAGCAAGAAACCCGCAGAAAGGAGAATTTCAAATTTTTTAATTCGCCAGACCGTGTAAAATAACTAATCAGAAATTGATTTAACCGAACTGTGACTTAACTTTGTGATGAAAAAAGTTAAGAGCTCCAATTTTTTTCACATTTGTTTTTAAAATAAGTCAGAAAATAATTTTATTTTGCACCAATTTGCATCCTTCTGTACAGCGCGTAGACTGATGTTGGAACTTTAAACAGAGCACGTCACGAACTTGAAATTGAGGTCATTGGTGGAATGCAGCATCACTAGAGACCATTAGAAATAATTTTTTATACGTACTGGTCGTGCATGCACCATATTCTGCCTGCCAACTAGCGTAGGGTTTTGAGCTCGTTACTGTTAATCACAATACATATACCAGTAGTCCAGAAATAAACAAAGCTGATGAATTAGTGAATGTCAGGATCCAAAAAGTATTCGATTTATAACGTTAGAAACAAAAGCAATTGGCGTTAATGGTCTGCATTTAGTCCATTCAATATGGTGCATCGAATTGCCAATTATCCTAAAACACAAGATGACTGGAATTAACGGAATGAATATCGTTTTCAATTAAGCAAATTTAGCAAATTTATGTCCAGAAATAAAAGCTGACTCAGAAAATTCATGTGTATATCCTTCGCTTCTAAAACGTTGTGTCAGCTCATCGCGATATTTACTATCAAACTGTCCAAGATCGCGGGTCATTGCCACCAGTGGAAATTTAGCCCAATTCGTCATCACGATATATTCATACTGGCCGGTCTGCTCGTTTTTTGGCCCGACCATTACTATTTGATCTGTAATTCTAACTTGAGCATCAGGTTAATAGATACAGAAACACATGCCTGCTAATAGCGAGTTGCGCAGAATTTAAAAAGCTGAAAATCGACATGAGGAATGTTTGACTGTCGGCGCTTAGAAAGTAGCAAGCTTACAGGGGCAAGGATCTTCCTGCACATAAACATACACTTTTCCGTTGTGTATGATGCCATAGCCGAAGCCAACTTTGGGAGCACCATGAGGACTCTTCACACGAAATGAATCCACTGCTACAAAGCTTGACGTATTGCGCATTTCTGCCGCATTTTTAACTGCAAAAGTTAACATCACAAAATTCCTGCGAACGAAAACAGCTGTACAACAATGTCGCCAAACAAATTTTTTGATGGCGGAAAGACCTTTGGGAAAGTACATGGAGAAGTAGGGAGTTGAGAAGCAAAAGCTAGAGGAACAAAAAAAAAGTGGGACCGAGTATGAGAGGCGATGGTGGAATGAAGGGGGGGGGGGGGGGGGGGGGGGGGGG